CTGTGAAGTTGTAAGGGATTTCATTTTACTTGGACCCATGATCAACACCCATGGAAGCAGGAGTCAAGAAATCAGATGACATATTGCACTGGGCAAATCTGCTGCAAGAGACCTCTTTGAAGTGTTAAAAGAGCAAAGATGTCACTTTGAAGACTAAGGTGCACCAACCCCAAGCCATGGTATTTTCAATCGCCTCATATGCATGTGAAAGCTGGACAATGAATAAGGAAGAACAAAGATTTGCCCATGACCATATATAAGATTGGCAGAGAATATTTCTACATATATATTTGTAAACATTGTAAGAATGTCCATATAAATAGAGCTGACAGGGGCCAAAGTTATGATAACTTCTTAGCCACAGCCTACCAACCTGAGTGAGCAAGTTTTTGGACCTGTGGGCTTGGGACCATGGTCATGGGGGACATCAAGCTCAGTTGGGATAACATACACACTACACAGAAACATTGTTCTACATCCTCTTCAGTGAGTAGAGACTTGGTCTTAAAAGCTCTCCAGCGGTCATCCAGATGCAATAATTAGTCTCCCCACATCCAGAGCACAGAAGGATGAAGAAGAAAGGTGCCCGGACACGGTTAGTCCAAGGGACCTCTCAGCCTACGTGACCATGAGACCAGAACTAGATGGTGCCGGCTACCACTGTCAAGCACGTGGAAAGGGATCAGTGCAGGAGGTCCTGGATAGAATGGGAGGACAATGTGGAACAAAACTCAGAATTGTTAAAAAAAAAGACCAGACTTACCGGTCTGATAACCAAACCGAACTCTCTGCCATCGAGTTGATTCTGACTCATAGCAATCCCCTTTAGGTTTCCAAGGCAGTAAATCTTTATGGAAGTGGATTGGCCAATCTTCCTTCCATGGAGTGACTGGTGGGTTTGAACCGCTAACCTTCTGGTTAGCAGTCAGATGCCTTAGGCACTACGCCACCAGAGCTCCTTTTTCACTGATCTGATAGAGGCTGGTAAAACCCCTAAGATTATGGTATGGCCCCTAGTCAACCTTCAGGCCTGGAATTAAACTCAGTCCTGTGGTTTCCAGCCAAAAAATAGGCATATGAGGTGAACATTTGTACTAGGTATGTGTACTCCTTAGAACGATCAACCGTGGGAGATCAGAAGGGTAGCATTTGCCCAGGGAGACAGCTCGGGGCAGGAATGCATGGAAAAGAAGGACACAGGGAAAAGGTTACCACAGGGAGGAAGTGGGGAGAGAGCTGTTACACTGGGGGATGGCAGGCAAGTGTCACGATCAAAATGCATATCAACTGTCGGATGGAAAATGAATTTGCTCTGTGAACTCTCACCCCAATCACAGTTTTAAAAAAGATTAAAAAAAAAAAAGAACACCTTTGAATTGTGGTGTTGGTGAAGCATACTGAAAAAAACACAGACTTCCAGAAGAATGAACAAATCTGTCTCAGAAGTACCACCGGGAATGCTTCCTGGAAGCGAGAATGGTTCCTGGAATTGAGAATGTCCAGACCTCATCTCATGTATTTTGGTCACGTTGTCAGAAGCGACCAGATACCGTGCTTGGTAAAATGGAGGGTCAGTGAAAAAGGGGAAGACCCTCCACGAGATAGATTGACACAGTGGCTGCAGCGACGGGCTCAAACACAGCAAGGGCTGGCGGCTGGCACAGGGCCGGGCAGCATTTCGTTCTGTTGTACATGGGGTCGCTGAGTCAGAGTGGATGGCACCTAGCAACAACAAATTCTCCTGTCCACCTATCTACCCCCCATTTCCCCTCCTGCCTAATTGACCCTCCCATCCTCTTCCCCATGCTTCTAAGACCCACTGAGCGCCAAAGGCTCTTGGGCCAGGAGCTTGGGAGGCCCAGTCTTCAGGAGAACCCTGGGCAGCACCACTGCAGTAGTGCAGTGCGCTGGTCCACAGCAGTGGCCAGTGCTGGGCCAGTGAGGGCTGCTGTACTCGGCAAATCCTTGGGCAAGCTGCTGAATGGCACCCTGCGACCCCCATCAATATTATGCTGCCCCCAGGGTCCAAGAGCGGCACGCTGGCCCCGCTGATTATCCTGAGAGCGGTGGGTCACCCACTTCCTACAGCTGCACGTGCCCCGTAGTGCTGCAGGAGACAGTGGTCAGCTTTTTTCCAATCATCGGTTTTATGGACTGTAAGGGGGAGCCAGAGTTATAAATAGATGTTCTTGAGCTAAAAATAGTCTTGCTGGAGCCCAAGACCACAGTTCCAGCTTTTGGCCTCTTGGAAAGTCCGTGCGGATTCAGGGCTTAAGGACCCCACCTCCTTCCACCAACCCTCAAAGAGGAGGCTCTTTTCTCTTGCTTCCTCTTCCTTCTGACACCCTCCCACACATGCACAGCATACATGTTGCATGCACACGCACACACCCCTGCACGTGTGCAAACACACATTCACACACAGATCTGGTCCTGGGAAGGGGGACAGTATTCCTAGGATAAGTGGGACAGACCTCCAGCAAGGGCCAGAGCCCCTGCTTTAGCCAGAGGGCTTAGGGTCTGAGAACACAGACCTGGCATTGGGAGCCCACCTGGACACTGGACACGTGGATTCCTGGAAACTACCTGGCCTGGGGCTGGGCCTACCCTCTTAGCCATCATTGCAGCAGTGACCCAGCAAACAAGGGGCCCAGGAAGTCCTGTCTGAAGGCCCGTCCTGAGAGCGGCCCCACGGCCCAGGTCCCGGGCTCGCCACGGCGCTGGCTGTGAGGGGCGCGTGCTGCATCAGCCTGTGCAGTCTGAA